TCATATTTCTTCTGCCTAAAGGGTGTCCTTTAATACTTCCTGAGTATAAATCTGCTGGTAATAAATTCATTCAGCATTCTTAAAGAATATTTATTTCATCTTTAGTTTGAAAGATTGTTTTTGCAGGGTTTAGACTTCTGGGTTGACAGTTTTGTTGTTGATTTGTTTTGTTTTATACCTTTATTTTTTATTTTATTTTTATGTGGTTCTGAGGATCGACACGTGAGACAAGCACTCTACCACTGAGCCACAACCCCGGCCCCTTGTTGTTTTGTTTTTTAACTTTTGTTTCCTTTAAAATGTTACTCCGGTGGCCGGGGTTGTAGCTTAGTGGTAGAGCTCTTGCCTGGCATGCATGAGGCACTGGGTTCTATCCCCAGCACCACATAAGAATATGTTACTCCACTGCCTTTGTCTTGTATAGTCTGATGAGAAGTTCACTACTCTCTTATTTTAGTTCCTCTTATGTAAAGTGACTTCTTTTTCTTCTGGTCACCTTCGCATTTTTCTTTCTTTTTTTAAAATATTTTTTAGTTGTAGATGGACACAATAGCTGTATTTATTTATTTTTATGTGGTACTGAGGATCGAACCCAGTGCCTCACAAGTGTGAGGCCAAGCGCTCTATCACTGAGATACAGCCCCAGCCTCACATTTTTCTTTATCTTTAGTTTTTAGAGGTTTGATGGTACAAGTGTATATGCACACTTCTGTGTGTTTTTTCATTTTGGTGTTTATCCCAACTGAGGTTCTCTGAGCTTCTTAGATTCACCTCATTTTTTTCCCTTTTCTCTTCCTGTGATCCATTGTCATATTTGTAAGTCTGTATAATGCCATAATTATTGGAAGTTCTGTTCTGTTATTTTACCACTCACCACTCCTTTTTCTTTTTGAGTTCAATCTAGATAATTTCTACTAACCTATTTTCAAGTTTCTAGTTATATTAGCTGTTTCTCTCCCCAGTGGGTTGTCTGCACACAGTCAATGAAAGGAATTCTTTAGGTTTGACATCATGTTTTTATTTATAGTATTTTGATTTAATCCTTGTTTATGGTTTCTATCTTTTGCTAAAGATCATCTCATGTTGTTCAGTGTTTCCATTAACTTTTTTAACATTTTAGTCATAGTTATTTTTTAAATTCCTGCCAGATATTTTCAATATTTGTGTCTTCTGAGAGCCTGTTTCTATCAGTTTGTCTCTTGAGAATATGTTGGGGGTTTTTCTTGCTTATTTAAGTTTCTCCTAATGCCAGATATATCTTGGGTCTAACAATAAAGACTGAGTTTAATAGCACTTACTCCTGGAAGTAGGCATGCCTCTTCTATCGTATTATTAGTTCAGAGGTTGTTAGTCTAATTAGAAGTAGAGCTGGGTTTAGATTTTGTTGTTGCTATGGTAACAGGCCAGAAGTTTCAAGTTAGTCTAGTTATGGATCCAAACTTAGAACACAAGCTAGGATTCTAGAGTATTTTTCTCAATATTGGAGAATTATCTCTTGCTTTTGATCATTCCTGATTGCCCTTGCCACAAAGAGGAGGGTCTGTGTCTTCTGTCTCTCTCTCTGTCCTTCTTCTCCCACTCTCCCTTTTCCCCTGAGATCTCTATTTATTAAAGGTTGGTAAAGGCATAATATTTTGGCCCAAACATTTTCCTTCCTCTCCCTGAGGGATTAAGTTTTTCTTTTGTGTGTTTTGCTTCTGGGATTCCCAGGAGTATTGTTGGCCAAATACATATTTTCCAGCTTAGAGTTTTCTCCATCTTTTAAGTAACATATATTTGTATCCTAAACTTATATAAATAGGTAGACCCACAGCTATAGATTCTCAGAGGACACTATTTCCCATCCAGAAGGGAAACAAGATTTCAAATATTTTCTTGTTATCTCCTTATGCATAGGTTTAGAATTTTTCTATCCATGGTTTTAAAAAGCTTCTTTGTGGGTTTCAGCTTAATAAAGGGTTCTGAATTCTAGCTTTCTTCCACATATGGACCCAGTGAGCCCATAGATTATCAGACTGGCACTCTCCCCAAGTTCAGCTCATATACTTAATGTTAATGGATTTCAGTTTTGTCTGTTTCTGCAACGTTTATTTTTCTGTATGCATATATTATGTCAGTCTTCTATATCTTTCAAATGAATACCTCAATTTAACTAAAATAATGTCATATTTTACCTATCAGTACTAGGTAGAAGAAGGATTTGTAAATTAGTTAGCTAGTCATGCTGTTAGAATCACAGTTTATAAATAATCATTCTACTTATCAAATTTTCTAGAAGTTTGTTTATAATATTATGTAGCCATTCAGAGCAGTGCAGACTGGTGTCAGGATATTTATATTTCAGTTTTTCTCTATCACTTTCTGTCTTGAGATTTTGGTAACTTACTTGATCACTTACTTGTGGCCTCCATAGACACATATGTAAATGGAGATAAAAATCTCCTACCTCATGGAAATGTTATAGGAAGGCACTTAGCACATGATAAGTGCCCAACAAATGTCAGTTTTTAATAATTATCTTCAAATAGTTTATATCTTAATTCTTATTTTACTTATGTTTTAGCCATGATGAAAATATTGGGCTCCATTTTTAGTGTTTATTAATATATCAATTTGGCTACTTAATAACAAGCTTTATTTTCCCCCAGATTGCTGCCTCTTCAGAGAAATTATGCTACTTTCTTCAGATTTTCCAAAATCTCAACTTTAGACTAGTATTGTTTTCATACCTAATGTAGGGTGTACTTAGAGTACAAATGCAATGTTATGGCTTTATCTCTATTAGGGACACAACAACCCCATTTTCCAATATTGATATGATTCTATTAAACAAAAATCTCTAATTATTGTATTACCAAGAACATTGATTTAGGCATTACCATAAGCATTGATAAACATTAGAATGTTAAAGGTATTGTTATTTTGTACAGTGGAATGAACAAATACTGTTTTTGTTTTTATTTTTACTTATAAGGACATACAAGGAAGAAAACGCCCCTTAAACAGGGACTTCAAAGATACTACAAAAACATCCAGTCTAAACACAGGGCAACTTGTTAACAGTTGTATGCGAAATATCTGTGTTGTTGTAGAACACTTCTTCTTTGTCTTATGTAGTAGGAAAAGTAAATTTTAACTAGTGTCTGGACCTTTTGATTCTTTTAAAAAAATTTTTTTTTAGTTATAGTTGGACACAATACCTTTATTTTATTTATTTATATCTATGTGGTGCTGAGGATCGAACATAGCGCCTTGCACATGTTAGGTGAGTGCTCTACCTGTGAGCCACAACCCCAGCCCTTTTTATTCTTGCATAGAATTTCACCACCATTTGAACCAAGAAATAAAACAATCAGTTAGCTAGTTTGGTCTTTTGGGAAGGAAGGAAAAAATATCACAATTGTCTGGGAGTAGCTGATTAAAGAGCTTATTTGTGAGCAAAGGGAAAGGGAATTTTAGCCTAGAAGCTGTTAAGATAGGAGGAGGATATCTGGGAAGGCTGATTTTTTTTTTTTTTTGCTTCATTTTTTTGCCATCAGCAAGAAATTTAGCCAGGTGCAGTGGTGCATGCCTGTACCCCAGCAACTCAGGAGGCTGAGACAGGAGGATCTTGGGTTCAAAACCAGCCTCAACAACAGCGAGGCACTAAACAACTCAATGTGGCCCGGTGTCTAAATAAAATACAAAATAGGGCTGGGGATTTGGCTCTGTGGTTGAGTGTTTCTGAGTTCAATTCCCAGCACCAAAAAAAATTAATCAAAATGCTCATTTTTTTTGACTGAAATATTTAAAGAATACTGGATGTACCGTACTGAATGCAGAGAGAAACTAAGATGTCACCATCATCACTAAAGAAGATGAAACCATATCATATGTTAAACATCTGAAACTGACTTATTTTTAATTGAAAATTTAATCACATAGTTGTACATATTTATAGGGTACAGTGTCATATTTCAATATATTTATATAGTGTGTAATGATCAGATCAGGGTAGTTGGTATATCTACACTGCAAACATTTACCATTTCTTGTAATTTTCTTTGGGAACACTTAAAATCTTCTTGGCTTGCTATTTAGAAGTATTCAATTAGTTGTTGTCAACCGTAGTTATCCTACTATGCTATCGAAACTTAGAAGAAGTTATCCCTCCTATTCAAGTGCACCCCTGTACTTATCAACTTTTCTCTCTAGATCTTCCCTCCTCACAACTTCTCAAACTCTGGTAACCACTGTACTGTTCTCTCCTTCTAATGAACTGTATATTCTTCAACACAAAGTCTCTGATGTACTATCTCAGGGAAAAAAAATCCTAAATAGATCTCAAATATATATCAGACTTAATTTCACTCAATTTGTACTTGTGGTTCTACTCACAAATTGAGAAAATCCCTTATAAGCTAGTGAATCCCTGGTTTTACATGTTTAGCAAATAATGTGTAGTATTATTTTTCATATTATGTTAATTGATATAATGAATTAAAATTACCATGAAGTCAGTGTGTTACATTGGAAAGAACACTCAACTCACAGGTTTACAAGGTCCAGTTCTTTTTTAAAAATTTATTTATTTACTTGTTCTAATTTGTTATACATGACAGCAGAATGCATTTCAATAAATAGTCCACATATGGAGCACAATTTTTCATTTCTCTGGTTGTACACAAAATAGAGTCACACCATTTATGTCTTCATACAATTCCTAGGGTAATGATAATCCATCTCATTCCATACAAGGTCTAATTCATCTAACACTAAACTAGTTTTAGAATCTTGAAATCCTGAAGAAAGTACTTCCTGAAACTGAATTTTTTTGCTTGAAAAATAAATAAGAATAAAACTCCTTTTCACTTTTTTCTCAAAGGACTTTTGTAAAAATTTATCCTGATAATATCACTTTGTATTTGTGTAGATTGATGGTGATATTTTTAAGCTACATAATTTAAGGAAATCCCAATATTTATGTGTTCCTCTCAGAATTTTTCTTATTATATTTCTAGGCCTTTAATGATTGACCCACAGGGTCAAGCCAATAAGTGGATCAAAAACTCTGAGAAAGAAAATCAGCTCAGTGTTATTAAGCTATCAGATTCAGACTATATAAGGACATTGGAAAACTGTATACAGTTTGGAACTCCACTTCTGTTAGAAAATGTTGGTGAAGAACTGGATCCATCTTTGGAGCCTTTACTACTTAGACAAACTTTTAAACAAGGTACAAGGCAGTTAATATTGATAGAACTTACAGATGATTGTCTTATCTTTGAGACATGATAGAAAACCACTGTGTAAATTTAATAATAATGTTGATAACTCAACTTCTTCATCCTTGTAATGAGTATAAAGACATTTGAAATCAGCTATCAGGAATGAACCTTGGTTGGATATTCCAAGATAAATATGTTGCCTTCTCTTCTCTGTCTTAACTATTGTTATCTAGACTCTTGTTCTATAGAGAACATGAAGAAGTTGAAGCCAGTCTGAAATTTCTTTATCTTGTGACTATTGACCACACAAAATCCATTATTATGAACAGTGGTGGTGAATGTGGACTAGAGTTGAGCTTAGGTAAACATTGCCCATTTTAGATCTTTCTGCTTATGAAAATTTTGTCTCTGCTAAGGTCTAGTACCTTTAAGCACTTTACTTACATATAGTTATTTTGGGATCATGATTGAAATTTGATGGATTAAGGAAACTCAAAAGAAATTTTGATTTGTGAAGTTCATGACAATTAGAGAAAATATCCTATACTACTCCAAGTACCACTACAGAAGAATCTATTTAATTGCTTACTTGCCTCTGTATCTATGACTTTTGTCATACCAATTTTCTATTTCAAATTATTTAGGACTATTTCAAAGTATTTAGGACTCTATTTGTAACCTAGGCAAGGCCTTAAAAGAACATGGGAGGGGCTATGTAATTTTGGCTTATTTGTAACGCATTTGTTTTATGAAATATAGGTGGCCTTGATTGCATCCGACTTGGTGAAGTCATTATTGAGTATTCCTTTGACTTCAAATTTTATATCACTACAAAACTGAGAAATCCACACTACATGCCAGAGCTGGCTACAAAAGTGTCTTTGCTCAATTTCATGATAACTCCAGAAGGACTTGAAGATCAATTACTAGGCATTGTTGTTGCAAAGGAGAGGTATGTAATTTCTTAGAAGCTTCCTTATAATCTAGAGAGGAATACTTGTAGACCATTTTATATTTTTGTTTGGGAACTATTTTGAAACTGTTTTTGTATTTTGTTATTATAAATTTAATAATTATATAATTCTTTAAAATAGCCAGTAATGAGTAAGTTATAAGCCAACCAGGTTATGTTGAGTTTTTAGTATGAGTAGTGGGATTCGAGTTACATGCCATGACTTCTGACTTACATTTTGTTGAGACTAAATTTTCATCTCTAAGAATCTATGCCATGGAGATAATCAGAAATACATTCAAAGGCTTGTATAAAAATAAAAGATGTATAGAAATGTGCATGAAATTAGAAAATGCTTAGGATACTAAGGAAAAACTAGGACACAAAACCATATACATACAGCACAGGTAACATTTTATTTCAAAAAGTAATGGGTGGATGGATATTTATATATACAAAAAGAAAAAAAAGGACTGGAAAGCAGTATACCTGTTAACAGTGATTATTAATGGTTCTGTAAGATTGTAGATTCTTTTATTGTTTTCTTTATGCTTAGATATTTTTTTCATTACTAATATATATTATTTTGAAAATGAGAAAAAATATAAAACCCAGAGAAGTTACAGCAAAGAATTGCTTCTGGAAAGAAATCTTTTATTTCTCTTGAAGTTTAGTATAACATAAGTGGTCTATTACATGAAGTCAAATTAAAAGTGAAAGTATATAACTGTGAGGTAGTTTTGTTACTTCCAATATTGAAATTCCACTTATGTCTAAGAGTAAATTATGTGATAGCATATTTTAGAACATGGCAAATTGTGTTATTTGAAGTTTCATCCCATCTTTTTATTAAGACATATCTTAATAATATTGTTTAATACTTAATAATAGTATTGTTAGATTTACTGTGGCACATGTTATTGCCATCTTTGATACAAACAATATTCTCTTTGCTTGAATTTAAGTTGTTATTTGCATGAAAATATTTTCCCTTAAGTTACCAATCACTTCAGTTTGTGACTTGTATATAAAATAATTTAAATGTCTACAAAATTTTGATATATTTAGATATACATAGATAAATTTAGACTAAATGTTTCTATCTTTTTAGACCAGAATTAGAAGAGGAACGAAATGCTCTTATTCTTCAGTCTGCAGCTAATAAGAAGCAACTAAATGATATAGAGACAAAAATTTTAGAAACATTATCATCTTCAGAAGGGAACATTTTAGAAGATGAAAGTGCAATTAAAGTCTTAGACTCTGCCAAAATGATGTCCAATGAGATAACAAAGAAACAGCAGGTGAAAAAAGAATCCTAGAGATGTTTTGATTCTTGAGATTTTAATTTGCTTCCAGTCCCTGAGGAAACTGGTGTAGTAGCCTTCCTGGAAAAGAAAAAGAATTGATTAAATATGATGACATAAAACTAATTTTAAACTCATAAAAGAATAACTTACTGTTGAATTATTGAAAACTCGATTGGAATTTTTTTAAATATTTATTTTTTAGTTGTAGTTGGACACAATATCTTTATTTTATTTATTTATTTTTATGTGGTGCTGAGGATCGAACCCAGGGCCTCGCTCGTGCTAGGCAAGCGCTCTACCGCTGAGCCACAATCCCAGCCTTTATTGGAATTTTTTAAAGATATTTTATTTCTTTTTTTAAAAAATTTTTAGTTGTAGATAGACACAATACTTTTATTTTGTGTATTTATTTTTATGTGGTGCTGAGGATCAAACCCAGTGCCTTACACATGCAAGGCAAGGACTCTGCCACTGAGCCACAACCCCAGCCCCTTGATTGGAATTTGAAGAACAAAATGCTCTTATTCTGTAGTCTGCAGCTAATAATGAACAACTAAAAGATATTGAGAAATATTATCATCTTTAGAAGGGAGAATTTCAGAAGATAAAAGTACAATAAAAGCCTAAATTCTGCCTGTATGGTATCTACATGTATCTTTATACAGAAGAAACTAATTTACAATGAAAGTTTTTAAAATACATTGGGGTTGTTATTGGGTAAATAAGTCACACTCTGTCAGGTTCACTTAAGTTTTAGTTGACTCCTCATTTTATTTATTATTTATTTACAGTTTTATGACTTTATTTAACTATCAGCAGTTACTTCTCATCCACATTGACTGTAGATTTTTGAACGTGGTAACGGAGACATAGGTTACCAAAGTATAGAGCTTGTTTGGTGAATTTTCATCCTCCTTAGATTTTTCTGGATAATCGCACACCAATACGATATAGGACATTCCTTATTTCTTTGGCCCGAACAGCTTTGTTGAGCCTGGTATCAATGCGCACATCTGGAGTTCGGATCTCCTTCATGGCAAATTTCCGGATCTCTTTGAGTGCTGGAGGAGCACTTCTTGAAGCCCACTCCATGGATGCACTTGTGAATGTTGATAGTGTATTCCCAGGTCACGACCTTGTTGAAGGCAGAACAGCCCTTCTTTCTGGGAGCCATTCTGCCAGGCCCAAGTTAGAAAGGAAGGGCAGAAAGATTGTGGGAGGGAAAGCCGCGTTTGACTCTTCACTTTAAAAGTTGAATTTGAGAATTTGTCTTACATCTATTAGTGGTTGGAGGTAGTTGACGGGATAATAAGTTGTTCAAGGAGGGACTGGGGCTGTCGCTCAGCTGCAGAGTGCTTGCCTAGCAAGTGTGAGGCACTGGGTTCGACCCTCAGTACCACATAAAAATAAACAAATAAAATAAAAGTATGCTGTTCATCTACAACTCCAAAAAAAAAAAATGTTCAAGGAACACCCCAGTAGGGATGGTTTTGACATTACCTTGTCACGTGTTTATCGGGGAGAGAAATATAAGAAGTGAGAGTTGCAGATAGAGGCAGGGAGGCAAGTAGTCTACAGCCAATACTGTATTTATTGCAGATTCATCTAACACAGCCAAATGCTCTTCTTACATTATTTTTCTTTATAGAATCATACAGTGTTATGGGTGGAAGAGACTTTGCTAGCAGCTCTCTTTTCACCTCATAGTTGAGAAAACCAGTGTCCACAAAAGTTAGTTGAGGCTCAAGTTTACACAATTAAACAGCATTGCAGAATGACTCCTACAGGCTAACTTTGTAAGTTTTCAGGCCTTTTAGTCCTCCTTAGTCCCACCCAATAAGGTATTCCTTCACTTTAGGATAATTAAAAAATAAAAAATCAGGGCTGTGAATGTAGCTCAGTGGTAGAGCACTTGCCTATCATGTGTGAAGCACTGGGTTCGATTCTCAGCACCACATGTAAATAAATAAACAAAATAAAGGTCTATTGACAACTAAAAATTTTTTATTTATTTTTCATTCTAATTTGTTATATATGATAGCAGAAGGCATTACAATTCATATTACACATATAGAGCACAATTTTTCATATCTCTGGTTGTATATAAAGTATATTCACACCATGTCTTCATACATGTATTTAGGGTAATGATGGCCATCTCATTCCACCATCTTTTCTACTCCATGCCCCTTCCCTTTCCCTTCTACCCCTTTGCCCTATCTAGATTTCACCTAATCCTCCCATGCTCGCACTCCCAACCCCACTATGAATCAGCCGCCTTATATCAGAGAAAACATTCAGCATTTGGTTTTTTGGGATTGGCTAACTTCACTTAGCATTATATTCTCCAACTTCATCCATTTACCTGCAAATGCCACGATTTTATTCTCTTTTATTGCTGAATAATATTCCATTGTGTATATATACCACATTTTTTCCAGTATATAGGATTTATTTATTTTTATTATGTAAATTTTTTATTTATGTGTGACAGCAGAATGCATTACAATTCTTATTACATATATAGAGCACAATTTTTCATCTCTGTTTATATACGTAGTATATTCACACCAATTCATGTCTTCACATTTCACCATCAATAGTTACCCTATGCCCTTTCCCTTCTCTCTCTAACCCCTCTACCCTATCTAGAGTTCATCTATTCCTCCCATGCTTCTGTTCCCTGTCCCACTATGAATCAACCTCCTTGTATCAAAGGAAACATTCAGCATTTGGTTTTTTGGGGATTGGCTAACTTCACTTAGCATTATCTTCTCTAACTCCATCCATTTACCTGCAAATGCCATGATTTTATTCTCTTTTATTGCTGAGTAATAGTCCATTGTGTATATATGCCACAGTTTCTTTATTCATCTACTGAAGGGCATCTAGGTTGGTTCACAGCTATTGTGAATTGTGCTTCTATAAACATTGATGTGGCTGTGTCCATGTAGTATGCTATTTTTAAGTCCTTTGGGTATAGACTGAGGAGTGGGATAGCTGAGTAAAATGGTGGTTCCATTCCCAGTATTCCAAGGAATCTTCATACTGCTTTCCATATTGGCTGCACCAATTTGCAGTCCCACTAGCAATGTGTGACTGTGCTTTTTTCCCCTACATCCTGGCCAACACGTTTTGTTGTTTATATTCTTAATAGCTGCCATTCTGACTGGAATGGGATGAAATCTTAAAGAGTAGTGTTGACTTGCATTTCTCTAATAGCTAGAGATATGGAACATTTTTTCATATATTTGTTGATTGATTGTATATCATCTTCTGAGAAATGTTTGTTCAGTTCCTTGGCCCATTTATTGATTGGGTTACTTGAACAACTAAAAAAAAATATTTTAAAAAATCAGAATAGATACTGCACTAATCCTTTAGTAATCTTCCACTGTTCTCCATTCCAGTCTAGTTTCACTCAGAGGCAGAGGACTTTGAAAGTGTTTAGGTACCCTTTCTCTTTGGATAGGTTTAGTTTTGCATAAATGTGATCATAAGGAATATTTGGTCAGGTGTACTCTCCTACTTCATCTTGGGAAACCAAAGATGTAGGTTCTTAGAAAAATATTCTATGGCATCCTCCACCTGGAACCATGGATGGAATATTCTATAGTATTTCCCTTCCTAATTCCTGTTCATCAGAGCAGAACAAACAAGCTTCTCATTGTTCCCTCACTGAACTTTTTAAAAGGCAGGAGAGGCTAAGGGTCATTTACTAGCTTATTTCCCATTAAGACTCAAGGATAAAAGGAATGTAAGTATCTTTTGATTCAAGTATTTTATCTTTACTATTAGAAGGAAATTTATTAAACAATATCCTGCTGCCTAGGTTCCATTGATTATTACGGACATTGTTTAAATACACTAAGTAATTAGCCATGAATTCTATGCCATGTTCTGCAGAAGAAAGTTCCCCTACATAGTTCAAAACCTGCTTTTCCCTTTTATCCCAAACTAAAAAATTAAACATACACACACTAAAAAAATTAAGATTTTGTTTTAAAGATTTCAAAGCTTACCCCCACACTAGTGATATTATGACTGAAGTTTAGTCTTTTTGATTCTTAAATGTTACAGACCAGGATACTTTTTACAAATAATGAATTATCCTATTTTAATATCTCTAACATACATTCACAATGTTCATTTTTTATAAAATGCTTTGTTCTTTGATTTTGGACCATTAATGGTAAATGATTTTTAAGGTATATTTCTCAATTTTAACTTTTCAGATTAAGGATCCAAATTTAGCAGAGATTATTTATAGATATACCATTGAGGGACTGGGGCACTCAGTGGTAGAGCTATTCCCTAACAAGAAAAAAGCCCTGGATTCAATTCCTAGTATCACCAAAACAAACAAACAGTCAACCAAGCCAAGGAACATGAATTAAATTATTATTTACTATTTTAAAATAATAACAATATTTGCTATTTGCTTTTGTTTGCTACTGTTTTGATGGTAAAATAGCATTTGAGTTGAAAATTCAAGATTTAAATGGAAGAAAGTTTAAATAGGAATGCTAAGAATATGCTTTTTTACATAATATTTCATTAATTCCCATTATTGTTAACTTTGTTATGCTTAGTATAACAAGACTGAGATGCAAAATTTACTTTCAGTTCATTTGTAGTTCTATTATATGATTCTTGGGAATGTTTGTTTGCAGGAAGCAGAAGCCCATTTAAAATAAAGAATATATATGGCATTTGTGTTAGTCAGATTTTCATCACTGTGACAAAAATGCCTGAGAAAATGGATTTAGATGGGGAAAGATTTATTTTGGCACACATTTTCAGTATCCAGTCTAACTCAGAGGTTTCAGTCCAGCTCCATTGATTCTGGGCCTGTGGTGAGACAGAAAAACATGGCAGGGAGGATGTGGTAGAGCAAAGTTGTTCACCTCATACCAGTTGTGAAGAAAAGAGAGAGAAAGAGGAAATGGCCAAGGACAAGACACATTCCCAAGGGCACAGCCCCAATAACCTACTCCCTTCTAATCGTTTCCACCTCTACAGTTTTCACTACCTCCCACTAGTCTATTTGAATTATGAATACATCAATGGATTTATTCACTGATGACATAAAAGCCCTCAGGATCCAATCATTTTCTAAAAGCCCCACCTCTGAACATTCCTTCACTGAGAACCAAGACTTTAACACAAGAGCCTTTAGGGAACATTCCAAATCCAAACCATAACAGAGCATTTTATTTTACCAACTACAGGAAGTATCCAGATCTGAAGGATGAGTGGAAAGCATTTAATCTCTTTTTCTTTCTCTTTCTGGAGTATTTTTCTCAATATTGGAGAATTATCTCCTGCTTTTGATATTCCTGATTGCCCTTGCCACAAAGAGGAGGATCTGCGTCTATCTTTCTCTCTCTGCAACTGTGTTGTCATCTTGGACTTGACTCTACTCTATTTGAGGACCAATTTCTTCTGTAAAACTTATGTACCTGTTTCTGCATATAATTATCTAGCACATAGAAACCAACATGTTGAAAAATTACCATAACCTTTTAGCCCTAATGCCTAGTTCCACCAAAAACTTCGGTTTATGAGACTCAAGTTCTGATTCTCTAGGGAAATTTTAATTAGCGTATCTTGGGTTTAGTTCTGTCCTTGTCACCTGACCCAATCAATGACAAATAAGTTCATTCAATATAAACATGACTGCATAGGCATTCTTATTCACCAGAGTTGGTAGATAACAATACCAAAGAAAGGAAAATGGGTTAGAACAGTGCTCTGAACTCTTTTTTCCTATAAAATCAAGCTATCAAATTGAGTTGTCAAATGAAGAGTTATTATCTTAGAGAAAATTTTCCTTCTGGGTTGATTATCTACAGCTCTATTAACTCTAGAACAGTTAAACATATGAGAAAGTAGTTGGAAAAAAGTGTTCTCAGTGTATAAAACCATCAACCAGACTTTGTGCTGGGTTCTAGTACACATTAACATCCTAAACATACATACATACATATTGTTCTCTGTCTTCCTGCCCCATCATTCTTTGACCTATTAAACAAAAGGGGGTAAATATTAGACACATGTCAGAATCAAGTAGAGAATAATCAAAGATTGATAGCTCTGGTGTTCCTCAAATAAAAAACAAATTATGGGTAATCATGCCTTTAATCTGTTAAATTTGAAATTAAAATCTTTACTGTTTTCCTCTCTTCTTCACTCCTTAGTTCTTCCTTCCTCTCCTTTTCTATTTTAGCAGGATAGAACCCTTTTTTGTAAACTGTACTTAAGTTAAATTCATATAATTTTTCATCGGGTTAGAGGCTGTTTTCTTAAAATATAAACTTGGTCATATGAAAAGTACATAAATAAAATACTTTCCTTATTTTTTAATCTCAATTTTTCTCTTCTAGATTGCAGAAAAAACAGAACTGAAAATAGCAGAGTCTCGAGAAGGCTACAGACCCATAGCTAAACATTCATCAGTGTTATTCTTTAGCATTGCAGACCTGGCTAACATTGATCCCATGTACCAGTACTCTCTCATCTGGTTTGTGAATCTTTACATCAACTCCATTCATGACAGGTAAACCTTCTCTAGCTTCATCCATCCTCCCTAGGTTGAATTTTCACTATCCTTTCCATTTTAAAAATAAAACTTTTAGCTAGATACAGAGGCATACACCTGTAATCCTAGCTACTGGGGAGGCCGAGGCAGGAGGAAAACAAGTTCAAGGCTAGCTTGGTTTACTTAGCAAGACCTGCCTTAAGATGAAATTATTAAAAAAAAAAAAAGAAGAAGAAGAAGAAGAAGGAGAAGGAGAAGGAGAAGAAGAAGAAGAAGAAGAAGAAGAAGAAGAAAAAATAAAAAAGTCTGGGGATGTAGCTCAGTAGAGAGCACTTGGCTTGGCATGCCAGAAATCCTGCATTCAATCCCAAGTACCTAAAGAAAAAAAAATCTATTTCTAATTAATTTTGCAATATAAATTCATTGTAAATCATTAAAAATATGAGAAAGTAAAGGAAGGAAGGTGGAAGAAAAAAGAACAAAAGAAAGATAATTAAAGTCTTCTTAAAAATGTTTCATTCCTTAAGATTCAGGCATAAAGGGATTGGCTTTAGTCCTTTTTTTCTCTTTTAAATATTTTTAAAATGCACATGATTTATTTTCCTCTAGCCATGGGGACCCTAAAAGGCATCAGTCCCACATTTCTGACAATTTGCTGGATATTTTCCCTTAACTAATTAATAAATGTACACAGATTTTGGAGTCAGGGATTAAATCTCAAGTTTTCTCACATACCATAGGCAAGTCAGTTAATGGCTCTATGATTGTCTCAGGTTTCCTTATCCATAAAATAATGATAACATGGTGCACACCTCTAATCTCAGTGGCTTGAAAGGCAGAGGCAGGTGGATAAAGAGTTTAAAGCCAGTCTCAGCAATTTATCGAGGGGCTAAGCAACTCAGGAAGATCCTGTCTCTAAATAAAATACAAAAATTGGGCTGGTTGTGGCTCACTGGTCTAGTGTCCCTGAGTTCAATCCCAGGTACCCCCCAAAAAAGGGATAATAGTATTACCTACCTTTGGGGGTTCTTATGAGGATTTAAATAAGACAATGTTTACGAAGTATTTATATATTGTCTAGTATTTAGTGACAGCTCTACTCATTAAGTAGAATTAAAATATGATTTGAGCCTATCACATGTGCTATAGAAAATTTCTTTATACATGATTTCTTGGGAGAAAAATCTCAAGTGATTGAAATCTCTTAAGATTTCCCAACTGGATTTTGGAATTTGAATTTACATAAGGCATATGATAGAGGAAGTTTAAGTTGAATAATTGACATAAAAGTCAAACAAAAGTTTTAGAGAGGATGTGGAATAATTGAAACTTTCATACACTACTGGTGGGATTTTAAAATAGCATGGCCACATTGGGTTACACAAAATATTAAACAGATTTGCCATTTGGTCCTGTAATTCTACTCCCGGGTATATACTTAAAGAGAATTCAAAGTATATGTCCACACAAAAACTGTTTTTTGTTTTTAGATATAAAATACTATATTTTGGGCTGGGGTTGTGGCTCAGTGGTAGAGCGCTCGCATAGCACGCGCAAGGCCCTGGGTTCGATCCTCAGTACCACATAAAAATAAATAAAGGTATTATGTCCAAATACAACTAAAAAAATAACTATTTTTTAAAAACACTATATTTAAAAGTTAACTTGTTGTTTTCCCTTTCAATGAGGTAATGTTATGCATATGAAATACAGTTAGGTTAATTTTTTTATTTTTATATTTTATTCAGGGTTTCCCTTCATGTTTGTTGAATTTATTATGTTTGAGTACATAAACCATTAATGACTCCACAAAAGTCAATCCTGTAAAAAAAGGCCTACTTAGAGAAGTGTCAGTACCTAACCCTTTAACTGTATTCCTATGGACCAAGTAGTATTTTTAAAATATCTTTATTTATTTATTTTTATGTGGTGCTGAAGATCGAACCCAGTGCCCCACACATATGAGGCAAGTGCTCTACCACTGAGCTACAGCCCCAGCCCCCCCCCCAAGTAGTATTTTTTAATCAAAATTAAAATTTGAGATAAGTGTAGATTCACGTGAAATTGTAAGAAATGATGCAAATCTCATGCACCCTTTACCCAGTTTCCCCAATAGTAACATTTTGAAAACCTATAGAACAATATCATAATCAGGATATTGAGATTAATATAGTCAAGATAAAGAACATTTTCATCACTACAGGGATCTCCAGATTGCTCTGTTATTTATAACTATACCCATTTCCCTCCCAGCCCTACCTCTTACATTTCCCTCACTAACAGAGATGATTGTTTTCAGCTTAATATTTTATGGAACTTTCAATGTGGCCCTGCTGTTTTAAAATCCCCACGGGTAGTATATGAGAGTTTAAATTACTCCACATACTCTCTGAAATTTATGTTTGACTTTTATGTCAATTATTCAACTTAAACTTGAATGACTAAAAACAATCAGTTAATTGAAAGAAAGAAAAAAAAAACAACCGTCAACACCTACTGAATTTCTGTTAGTGAGGGAAATGTAAGAGGTAGGGAGGGAAATAGGTATAGTTATAAAAGTTACTTAGAATTTTGAAAACACAAAGATGGTATGAAACATACTTTGTTTTTTTCACAGAATGGTACTTCATTTTAAAAAACTATTTTGAAATACAGATTCACAAGAAGTTATAAACCACATATACACACAAAGTATAGGGAGGTCCCATGTGCTTTTACACTGTTTCTCTGATGGTAACCTGTTACATAACTATATTCCAATATTACATACAAGAGATTAATATTGGTGCAATCCATAGAGCTTATTCACATTTCACTAGTTTTATATTCATTATGTGTGTGATTTCAAATGCCTTTCATAGTGAATATTTTGATAAATATGTTAATTAATGCTACTTATTTTTACTTAGGTTTGCTTGACAATATGTTTTCCTTTTCTTTAACCTTTTAGTAATAAATCCAAAATTTTGGAAAAGCGTCTACGATATCTAAACGACCACTTCACATACAACTTATATTGTAATATATGCCGATCACTATTTGAGAAGGACAAACTATTATTTTCCTTTTTATTATGTGCTAATCTTCTCCTGTAAGTTACTTGCTTCTTCTTAATTTACTAATTTTAAAACCCTAATTTGAAAATTTAATGTGTAAAGATGGCTTCTCAGAGAAGGATATAGTATTTTGCTTGATCTAATTCTTGATTTTAATTATAGCCTTCACTGATAACAATGTCTTCTACAGTAGTATTAGTGTTCAGATGTTTATTTGATTTTTAAATTTTGTATAATACGTAGATAGTTACAAAAGTTAATAAATAACCCACTAAATTCTTACACAGGGAAAATTGGGTCAAGAAGTAGAACATTCCCATCATCTCTGAAATGCCTCTGTGCTCCTTAGTTGCCACTCCCATGCTTTCTCCAAAGATAACTATTATCCTCAAGGATAACATTGAAATTTAACTTTACTTTTATATAAATGAAAGCACACATGATAAGTATTAATTTATCTGAATACTTTTCTTCAACATTATTGTTATTTTTAAAGGTTTTCTGTTCTTTTTTTAAAATTTTTTTAGATGTCGATGAACCTTTATTTTATTCATTTATTTATACATGGTGCTGAGAATCGAATCCAGTGCCTCACACAAGCTAGGCAAGCGCTCTAGCACTGAGCCACAACCCCAGCCCTCAACATCATTTTTATGAGATGCGATATTCCTCAATATTATGTATGAATCCATCCATATTGTTTCATGAAGCTCTCGTTTACTTGTTTTGATTGCTTTATAATATTCTAAGAATACATTAAAGTTTATCTGTTATATTCTTGAACATTTGAGTTGTTTCCTGTTTGGCATTATTATAAACAATAGTGGTATGAACATTGTTGTATATAGATAGATATTGGTGCACATGTGGGCAGATACCTAGAAATTTGTAAATCTTTTCCAGAATTTTTTGTACCAGTTTCCATCCCATTAACAGTTTGTGCATTCCATTGCTCCTTATACACACCAACATTTTGTATTGTCATTTAAAAAATACATCTTGGTATATGAATATTTTATTGCATCATGGTTTAAATTTGCATTTTTCTGATGACCAATGAAATTAAGCATTTGTTTATATATTTATAGAGCATTTGAAAATCTGTTGTAGTGTGATTGTTCAAATGACTTGCCCTTTTATCTTTTGGGTGTTTTGTGTTTTTCTTATAGATTTGTATGAGTTCTTCACATAATATAGATACAAATCCCCTGACAATTAAATATGTCAAATTGTTATTTGCTCATCAGCTTACTTTTTCATTCTCTTAATGCTGGCTTTTATTGAACACAAATTCTTAATTTTAATATCATCTTACTTATGGACTGTGCTTAGGGAAAACTCTTTCCTTGGCCTAATATTTTTTTAAATATTTATTTTGTAATTGTAGTTGGACACAATACTTTTATTTCACTTATTTATTTTTATGTGGTGCTGAGGATCGAACCCAGGGCCTCGCACGTGGGAGGTGAGCACTCTACCTCTGAGCCATAATCCCAGCCCCTTGGCCCAATATTATGGGGATATTCTCCTATATAATCATATTGAAACTCTATTATTTACCTTTCACAATTAGATCAATAAGCCACATGCAACTGATTTGTGTTCATGGACAAAAATAGATACCAGGTTTCACATTTTTTTCCATATAGTTACCGACTTCTTGAAAAGACTATCCTTTCTCCATTGCTCAATAGTGCCACCTTTGCAATAAATAATACACACAGATCTAAAGCTGTTTCTGCACTTTTTATTCCGTTCCATTGTATATTTGTAAGTAGTATTTTTAAAAGTCTCAATATATGATAGTTTTGTTTTATCTTTTTCTTTTATTTCCATATAAATATTAGAATTATCTTCTAAAGTTCCAAATATAAAGATACTCAGCAACCTGTTAGAATTTTGATTAAGAGTGCATTGGAATTACAGAGAAGTTTGTGAAAAATTAACAATTTTACCATATTG